GCCTTCCACCCTCCATGGCACTGGCTTCAAAGGGTATGAGGGTGTTGTGCAACCTGCAAGATTACAGGCACCATTAGTGTGCCACAATACATCTGCACCCTGCTCTGTACTCTGCATTTTTTCCTTGGGTAGCTGTAAATCATACTATTGAGATGAGTGTGTCTTGTTGCTGCATTTATCTATTTTTTTTAAACAGTAGCAGTCGTAGTAATGGGCTTCAAAAAGATCTGCAGCTTTAAATACCTCAGCTGCAAAGAAGCTGTGCCGGATGCTGGAGGCTATTTCCACGCCCCCCCATGGATTCCCTGACAGAAAACAAAAATTTCCCCGAAACATTAGCTGAGCAAGTTTCCCTAAAGAAAGTAGATGCTTTTTTAGAATCCAGCCCCGTGTGTGAAAACAGCTGCTTGTGCTGGAGTTTAGAAGGGTTTTGTATCCCAAGTTGTTGCGGGTGTTGTCCTAAGAAAACAAACTGTTCTGTATTTATACATGTATGCATCTGTGGTGCAGGGTTTTGCATTAAGGGCAATTATAAGACTTGGGGGGAAGAGTGGTGGTGTGGAGTATGGCGCCAGCAATGAATTAGTGGTAAGAGTGAATGAAGTGAATGGAATGAAAGACTTGACTTGAGAACTGTACTTGGTTCAAGGGGCAGTCACAGGATTCCAGTCCCTGTGAGAGTTCCCTTCTCCCCTTACACACCTCTCCATGAAAAAATGGCTACCTGCAGACCATGTCGCTGGCCATGTGCTCAGTTGCTGCATTGTCATGGTGTAGCACCCACAGAAATGGTTGGGAGGGAAGCCTCTCCACATGAGGGGGAAGCTGCTAGATTGGTTTCCACCCCATAGAGAGGCTTCAGTAGGTGCAGATGCAGGCCAGGGGGAAACAGAAGAACTGATGGTGGTAATGAAACGAAAGTGCTGTGTTCAGAAACCAGAATAACTCTCCTTCATGAACATAAGATAAGCGAGAGTAGTTGGAAAAATACACAGATTAAGGGGGGAGAAGAAAACAGGATGGTTGGTTTTTTGTTTTTTTTTTTGGTTATGAGTGGAAGGGCAATTCCCATAATGAGTGGAAATTTAAAAGAAGAAACTAATGGATGACAGCAAGAATGAAAAAATGTCAGTGGGGTCATTACATTAAAGAAATGGAGATAGTAAGATAGGTGGAGAGTTGTGATTTTAAATCTAGGAAGAAGCTGCTGCAAAGCTGAATGAAGTTATTCCGTAATCTTAAAACAATTGTGGCAAGGTTTCCACTCTCTGGGAGATGACTGGTCAGATTATCTGCCCGAGAACCTAAGGGCTATGGCTGAAAGGATATATTATTCTGTGGCTTAGCCACAAGCTCACTTGTGGAAGCTGCAGACAAAGCCAAGGTAGGAAACTGGCTAGAGAGCACAGCGCTGTGCTGCTGTGTGGCTGGTGAGGAGGAGAAGCTGCTGCTAACTGGGGAAGCTGCAAAACCTCAACCAATCCATAATGTTTTGATTTCAACCCTCCCCGTTATGTGGAGGCACAGATTAAAAAAAAAAAAAAAAGCTGGAGGACAACTGCCATAACGGAAAAATGAAGCTGTAAAGGCATCCATGGTTATGCATAGCAGTCCAGATTTGAAACAGTTGTTTTTTTGTTTTTTGTTTTTTGAGAAAACTTAAGACCTCCAGTTAACTACAACCCCTGGGCTAAATTCTATCCTGCTGTTACATCATTGACTTTAAAATCAGTTGTGCCCTGGGCTGTATTTTGCTCTTGGGCTGTATCCTGTGGATACTGGAGTTACCAAACTATTTGAAAGCCATCTCATATTGCTGAGATGGATAGTTGAATGGGCAACATTACTTGCCATGCCGCTCAGCCTATTTGATACACTGCAGCGTGGTGGCTGTTACCAGGAATGCAGTGGAGCCTGTGACCATAATGCTTAGTTAGCCATGGTTATTTCACAGTACAATCACTCTCCCAAATAATTATGGCTGATCTGGATGACAGCATCTTGCTGCACTAATTGGATTAGTGTTAGAGCCCATATGCATCCACAGATTATGCCACCATTTAAGTGCATCACTCTGCTTGTGAGAGGGGTGCAACAGAGAGACTGTGGAGAGAAAGCATCTGAACTAATTCAGAAGAAACGTTAAGTAGCAGTCAGGAATGAAAGCTGCATCTGACAGCCTGCCTACTCCAGATTCAACTTCATCCAGTAACAATCAATCTCCTGGGAGAACATAGGGGTCTCTGGACAGATATCTGCTTTGACACTGATAAATAACAAATGAGACTCTTGCTATTAGAGTTTAAGTACCAAATGATATAGGACAGATTACATTGTAGAGGAGTTGTGCTACCTTTTAATCTTCAGTTGTCCATGTTGCTGCCAGCCTGGAGGAAGCTAGTTTTATAAAACAAGATTTACCATTTGATTTGAAAGATGAAAAACTTTGTCAGTTGTAATTAAATACAAGACTCTCCTCCACCACATGAGCCAGACGCTCCTGGAAAACAAGAGCAGATGCACCTACCCAGTGTATTCTGCCCCTCCCCGTTCCCCATTAGACCAAGCTGGACTGGAGATTCTGAAGTCGAGTTGTTTGTCAGAATTTTCCATGGGAAGTGGTGTGGATTTCTGACCAGCTGTTTTTTTTCTTTCTAGGCTGAATGAGCCTAACCTTAAGCACGTGACTATTCCTGCTGACCTCAGGGGGACTGCTTATCTGTGTACATTTACTCACATCCTTGAGCACTTTGCTGAATTGGGGGCCTATTACTAGAAAAACAACTTGGCTGGGTTAAGTTTGATGCATTACACCTTCCAGACTCTATTGTCTTTTGTATGAATTATGTGGCCCTTTTTATGAATTAAGCTTGAGTCCTCCTGAAATAGTTACCAGTCCTGAAATAGGTTTTTTTTTTTTTTTTTAAATTAAAGCCAGTTATTAATATAGTGAAGTAAAACATTCCGATGTCATGGAAAACCAAATATTTTATTATATGCATTTCTAAAGCACTTAATGTGGTGCATTACTTTGGACTGTATAGTCTAGAACAGTGGTTCTCAAACTTTTTTTTGCACGGCCCACTTGAAAATTACTGAGGGTCTCAACGGACCACTTAATGATATTTCCAAATGTTGTTTGTACCGTTAGCTAACTATTGTAAAGCGCTTTGGATAAAAGCGCTATACAAAAAAAGCCCTTAATAAACAACTTTTGTTGTTCTACAGATAAAAGCACACAACTCATATTTTAATATCAGTAGTCTTACCCTTCTAATTCGATGGATGTTACCTCTCTGCCTTGCTGCAGCAGCCCCCGAGCTGCGGCTGGGAAGGAGGCGGGGGTCTCTCCACCACCACAGCAGCCACAGAGATGAGGCTGGGAAGGAGGGCCCTCTCTCTCCGGCAGCCACAGCCCTGGAGCTGGGGAAAGTCGCCTCTTTCTCTAGCTGCTGCAGCGCTGCACATCCCAAATTCCCCCCACCCCCTGTTCTCACCCCACTGCCCCCTCCCACTTACCCCCTATTTCCCCCAAGGCCACCACCTCACCTTACATGTGTGTCTTCGCCTGGGTCCAGGCACCTAATTAGTGGAGCCGCAGGGTGGCCATTCTCTTGTGTGCGGCCACCCAGGCGCGCACCTTAGAGGGAACTATCCGTGGACCACCTGAATGGAGCTTGTGGACCACTGGTGGTCCACAGACCACAGTTTGAGAACCTCTGGTCTAGAACTTCAGCTGGTATAAGTTGGTGTGAGTCTGATATCGGTGGAGCTTGTACTCTAGCTGAGAATATGGCTCTAGGTACTTGTAATATATATGGAATGTAGCCATTGTGCATTATAGTAGTTAGACTGGGTTAAAAGAATGATTATTAGGATTAGAGGCACATCACTGTGTAATTTTGTGGTTCTAATTAGTTTTGGAGTGAAACTACAGAACTTGTTGCTTCACAGGCATCCCATGATCCCAAGGAAAGGAAGGCAAGCACGCTGTTATTAACAAGGAAGAAAACTGTGCCATTCTTCCCTGTGATACAAGCTTAGTTTAGTGCTGCTAAATGCTTCCATCATTTTTAAGATTGCCAGTACTATAAAGAATGCTGTACTTTGGCAGCGTAGAAATGCTTTTCTGATAGAAACACTAACATAATGCAGGAGAGCTTGGCTGAGGTCATAGTTGTGCGACAGCATATTCAAGAGAGAGGTTGTGCCTGGCCCTGCACAAGGGGAGGGAGAAGGCAAAAAGAGCCTTCTCTCCCCCTTCAAGCCCCACTGTCGCATGCCTGCAGGGGCCAGGTACAGTTCTATGGGGGATTAGAAACCAGCAGCATTAACCTACCAAATGGGGCCATGGGGAGGCAGTGTGGAGCTGGTGGCTGGCCTGGAGTTGAGTGTGTGCTGCATCCTTTTACAGGACTAGGAAGCTGCTACAGCACTGTCTCCCACACACACAGTCCTCAAACATTGCTCCTAGGGCTGCTGCTGTGGTGTGGCCTCGCTTCCATCTGTCTCCACCTCCATTCACCGTTGGGCCCTGAATCTGTTCCCTCATATTGAGGAAAATGTCTTCAGTTTTCTTTACCTGGAATGCCCAGAAGAGCAGAACAAGAAATGAATTAAATGTTACTAGGTGCAGTGATATTAATCCTTTTATAAGAAGCTGAGACACCCGCCCCCTCCCCATCTCCCCTGCCAGTACTTTGAGGGAGAAGAGCTAGTTGAGCCTGTCTGAAAGCTTCTCTTTTGCATAGTTTTCAACAATGTATAAATATGCCAGGGTAACACAGTGTTCTCCTGTTACAGCATGCTAGCCATCTGGAGTGGAGGATGGTTTCCAGTTAACCAATGCAAATGTGGGTGTCAGTCCTTGTATAAGAGAGATGAAAGCATTTCTAGGTTTCTAAGACCTTCTAGTATTTTACAAAGAAGTGGTGATGTCTGTTAAACAGCAGTAGCAAGTCCAATTATTTAATCAAGCGGTTTTCAATTCCTTTCTCTAGGAGTGCATCATTGATGAGGATTGTGAGACAGGGAAATATTGCCAGTTCTCCAGTTTCGAATACCTATGTCAGCTTTGTAAAACCCAACATGCAGTAAGTGTACCAAATTCTTGTGTGGTCTTCAAAAACTGTCTCACCACATAAAGAACCATTGTTAATGGCCATAGACCAAAACTGATATAGATCTATTGGTTAAGTTCTGTTGGGGGGGTCACATCAGCAAACACTGAATATGCATACACAGAATGCTTTTTCTTGCTCTGCATATTCTTGTGTCTGTTATAAGGATTCTATTCACTGGTGGTTTAGGATTCAATCCAACTCCTGTTCACTTCAGCTAGAGTTTAGACACTTATAGAAAAGAATTATTGTGACTTTGCTGCCTAACATGATAAAAATGACAAGTTGCACATTGCGCCCGTACACCTACATGAACATGCTCAATTATTTCTTTGTGTAACTCCCTCCCACATGGGTCATTACGTGTTTGAATCTGGGAACTTCAGAGCAAACCTCTGCCATTTGAGCTAAAGGATTAACTCCCTCAGCTGGTAGCAATAGTAGGTTATCTTCTAGCATTGACAGCCCTGCGAGGAGGTAGTGCTCCTTGTGCTTAAAAATCGGCTAAGAGTCAAATAGAGTCTTTTCATTAATGTTTTTAATCTCCATATCCAGATGTATTTTTCATTCATATTCCTTTACTACAAGGAACCTGTGAGTAATCAAATAATATATCAATATAAAAGATACACGGTGCATATAGGGTTGTCTTCCGAGGTATGTACCATTAGTTCCTAGGACAACAGCTTTCCCAATGTACTATCTTTCTCCAGAGACTTTGCTTCTCTCTTCCCTCCTTTGGGTGGAAGTTGGTCCTTTCTTTTAAGCCACTTGATTACCAGCTAGAGGGTGCAGCTCTGCTTTAAAGTGATTCAGATCTCTCTGGGATCTAGTTTCCCCTTTGCAGTTAAGGTTAAACACATGAGTAGTCCTGTTTCAACCAGTGGGATTAGTCACATGCTTAAAGTTGAAAACACACGGAGAGCTGCTTGCAGGATCTGGGCCCTACGTCTGTGCTTATCCTTACCAGTGGTTGCTGTGTGCGTCAGTGCTGAGTTCAATGCTGGTGCTAAAAAGATAATTTTGTTGCAGTGATTTTTCCCCCCCTTCTTCTAAGCCTTGTTCCCGAGACGTTGAATGCTGTGGAGACCAGCTTTGTGTCTGGGGTGAATGTGTGGAAGCTGCTTCAAAAGGCAAGACTGGCACAATTTGTGAAAATCAACATGACTGTAATCCTGGGACATGCTGTGCTTTTCAGAAAGGTAAACTGCTTTTGCTTTTTTATTCTATTCATTTTATAGCGCAGGAGAATCTTCAACTCAGCTGAAGTAGCTAAATCTCTGTGTAAATTAATGGGTAATTCTCTCCTTTGCTCCGTGTTACTGTGGAGTGTGTTGTGATAAAGCCTTTAGAATGCAGTTAGAGTTGGGAAGGAGAAGGCGCTTCCTACAGGACTGCATTACTGTGAAAGTGACATATACTTCAAACATTCTAGATTGGAATGGGGTGAGCAAATAGAAGAGCGCAGGGTAGAGTGTGTTTGTAATGGGCAGCTACAGTCATTTGAAGGCAATAACAGCCTGGCCCAATTTTCATACCAAAGGAGAAACCTAGTGTGTGTTACTTTTTGCCTTGTAGAGTGGAAAATATTTGAGATTCTCAGTTTGCTCTGTCAAAAAACACTTTTGCTTCCCCTGAACAGCCCTTCCCCCATTAGAGAGAGGGAGACCACCAGTACAGGCGATTGCATAAATGTGAGGTTCTAGCGTGAACAGCTGTTGGGTATTACAATGCACTCCAGTACACAACAGTGTCCTGCATAAGACATGAACTAGAAGGGCACTACAGAACACCCCATTAGCCACAAGAGAGTCTGAGGCTTACAGAAGTGAAGCTTGACATAGTGAAGGACAAATGAGAAATTTGTTCAGGCCTGGGCCTTGCTCTTTCCACCCAGTCAACCCTAAGCCTTTGTCTGCTTATCCACGACAGTCTCGTGTGTCGCCCTCATGCCCCTCCTCCCTTTTGCAGGACGAGTGCCCAACCTCAACTTTTCCTCTAGGCCGGGGAGACCCTTTTTCTATGTTACTACCTATAATGGCCTCTCCCATGACCAGGAAGCCGCCTCACATCTTTGGACTTCAGATGACTTCTGCTGCCTAGAACCATTGTAGCAGAGTGCTGGGAATGTCATGTGGAATAGGAAGGCGGCCCATTTCAGGCACTGTCCAAGTTGAGTCAGTTGGGTGTATGCAGTTTTGCCTTGTTAACTCTAAACACAGAGCACTATAAAGGAGACTTTCAGCTTTGCAGAGAACAGTTTTAGATTATTTCCTTGTTCATCAGGATTTTCTTTATTTTAAAATACCTACAGAATTTGGTGAGCTTCAACAGGGACTCCTCTCTAAACCCCTCCCCTAAGAAGAAACAGGAGCAAAGGCGTAACTTCGGCAAGTCTTCTGACTGCTAATATCACTTCCCCAAGTGGGACTCTTATCTTGCTCCTGATCTCATAGAAGCCAGTGGCAAAACATCAACTGGTTTCATTAGTGTAGGGCTGGACATACAGTGAGGGGAACACACTGTTCCCTGAACCCCAGTTTCCTCTGTGATATGAACCAACAATAATTGCATCTGAAGCAGTACAATTCCAGTATCGTGCTGAAGATGATTTCAGCAATACAAACCCTTCACGGCAAATTTGACTCAAGTCAAAGTTAGATCCTGACTTGATAAAAAATGCTTAGATAAAAAATCCTGTAGCTGTAGGGGGAAAAACTAAAGTTGATGAAAGAGGTGATTATTTCCCTCCACTGAACAAAGGTACTAAAGCTTTAATGAAGGTACTGTTTAAATACCACCACCACCTAACTTTTATGTAGCTTTTTTTTATCGGTAGGTCTCAAAGTGCTTTACAGAGGTCAGTATCATTATCCCCATTTTACAGATGAGGAAACTGAGGGAAAGTGATTTGCCCAAGGTCACCCAGCAGGCCAGGAATAGAGCTCCTGCGTCCTAGTCAAGTGCCCACTCCACTAAGCCCCTCAGCCAGAACAGTGCAAAGGGGCACTAGTGTAAATGAGAATCGGGCTTAATATATTATGTTGTAAATTCAGATTTACAGAAAATCTTACAAAATACACCAATCTCAGTCCTTGAGTAATTGCAGAAGATTTGTTGCAGGTTTCATTCTTTTAATCATTTTGGTTAATTGTGATCTTAATGGTAAAAGTCTGTTGTATAATCTTAGAAAAAACAACCTGCTTAAAGCTCTTTCATGAAGACTTCTGTTGTCTTTTTACATCACTTGCTACTGTGAGAATGATAATTGAGGCCTGGCAAAGGATAGGCCGTGACAGGTCAATAATTCAGTTTTCCCAAATATTTCTAAGGTAAGCCCCAACAGCTGTAGGAAGTTAACTTTCTTCTTTGAGTAGCAACCCTATGGGTGATCCACATCTGCCTCAATATGGAAAAAAAAAATCTATCCTCATACCCACTCCATGCAGAGACTTCATCAGGGCTACTCTAGACACCTCCATAGCCAGGCAAACTTGCCCAAGGACAGATTTACCCCAGTGTCTAGTTTTGTTTCAAAGATACAAAAAAGCCTGCAAACCACAGCATGGACTTGTCTACGACTTGCAGGCTATATGGCAGCCTGTACTTTTGTGATACTCTTAGTAAGGCTACACTCTGTCTTCAGCCTGCCTAATTATCATCTATAACCCAAGGAAACAGTCTATGTGAATGGGTGTCAGTACCTCGGAGGGTTCTCTACTCTCTCCGTTGGTGGAAAAATCTACGAAAGGTGTGAGAGTTCTGTTCCTGCAGCATCCTCCCGCAAGGACCGCCACTACATACTGCTTTCTGAGGGGCACTGCCAGAACCTCAGCTTCACACTCAAGGAAGATACCCTCCTGAGGAGTCTATCCTCCATATCAATACACTGGAGCACTGAGAAGTTTGTTACAGAGGCAAGCACTTCCTATCCCACATCAAGGGCCATGCAATCAGCATAATGCTGGACAACAGAGTAGCAGTGTGTATTAGATCAGTTGTCAAGGAGGTGCAAGATCCCAGGCCTTGTGCGCTGAATCTATAAAACTATGGCTCTATCACACTGCATAAAGCGCTGAGATCTGTATCTACGAGGACTACAGAACACAATGGCGGATTCCCTCAGCAGGCATTTCAGCACCGACCACAAGCGGGAGCTGAACAACGAGGTATTCTGAGAGACCCTAGAGAAGCCTTACTTGGGGCTATTCAGACAGGTTTCTCTGCAACTCCATTCCTTGGCTCTGTGTACTGCTTTACACGTCATCTGGCTCCATTGTTGCTGAAAGTCCTGAACAAATTGAAACAAAAAAAATTAGTTGACATCCTCAGAGTACCATCTTGGCCAAGGCAGGCGTGGTCCCCAGAACTGATCCACCTCACCCAGGAATTGGAATCAAACGCTCATCTGAATCTGTCAGCACTTGACTTCAAGGCTACTAGATGGCTCTCAGATATAGAGCAAGATGGCTCCCCAGATGTACAAATCCACCATGAGACCTCAGCTTAGTCCTCAAGATGCTGACAAAACTCCCATTTGAAAGTATGGCAAACTGTTTCCTTCTTCATCAGTCCCTTAAGACCATGTTCCTCATAACCATCACCTCAGCCAAGAGAGATGGGGAGCTTGGAGCCTTGATGGTGGACTCCCTGTACAGTGTTCTGTCAAGACAAGGTGACGCCATGTTCACACCCTCGCTTCCTTACCAAGGTTTCCTCAGAATTTCACATCAACCTGGAGATTCACCTTCCTGTGTTTTATCCCAAGCCTCGCTCTTCAAGAGAAGAGTTAAACCTTCAGCACACTGGATGTAAGAGCCCGTGTCTTCTGCCTAGGGAATACTAAACCCTTTAGGGCTTTACATCTCAGTTACAGAAAGGACAGGTGATTTCCAACCAAAAGACTATCCAGATAGGTTACAGGGTGCTCCTTAACCTGTTATGAAGCCTCAGAGGTTCAACCCCCTCAGAGTCATTACTCATTCCACCAGAGCTCAATCTACCTCAGTAGCCCTGCTGAAAAAACACCTGGTGAGGCTGAACTGGTGAGGCTGTTCCACGATCTGCCTCCTCAGCAGCCCCCTCCTCTCATGATGGGGATGCTGCTCTGGAGTCTCCTGAAGTGGCGCACCCATGGGGACACTATTCAAAGGAGGTGGCGAGGACACACTGTACAGTAACTGGAGTTCTTAAAGATGTATCCCCCTATGGGTCGTTCAATACCCACCCTTCTTCCCCTCTGCTTTGGCGTCTCTCCTTGGACTTCCATGCTTCAGAAAACTGGAGTGGTGGTGAATCCACATCTCCCATTATAGCCTTGTATCGGGGCATGAGGGTGTCCATGGCACAGGCACGCACTCATAGTTGACAAAAATCTTTGATCAAGAGTGCACAGGTGTGCACATCTAGGAACACACATCTTGAAGACCCCCCACTTACTGTACAAGCTAAGTAACTTATCTTTTCCATTTGCCTCTCTTTTTTTTTAAAAAAATGGCAATGCAAGGGCTTTTGTTAATTAAAAAGTCACCGTCAGGGAGCGGGCTCTGTGTGTGTGTGTTTTTGTCAGGACCTGATATTCCTGAAACTCCTGTACTTCCAGAGTTTCTATGTATGTATATTGGAGTGCTTTCCTTTTCTGGTTATCTTTGTTTTCTGTGTCAAGAGTCCCAAACTGCACAGCATTCTGGTAAATAACTCCTCTCTCTAAAGGGTGAATTTCACCCCTGTGCAGAGGGTCAGCATAAGGCCTCTCCAACCTAAGTCCCACTTGAGTCCATTTTGATTTTTTTGATCTGTCACTATAGTTTGGTTTTGGTATAGACTTTTTTTATAGCAGGGGGTTTCCTAGATTGATTGATACATTTGTTTGTGGTGACTTCTTGTAATCATGCCTATTTTTTGAATAACTGCAGTTCACATTTAACCCTTTCAAAGAAATCATAAAAAAAAGTAAATTGGAAAACAAGATACATGCTCTTGCACCCAGATCGAGAACCAAAAAATCCTGGTAGGTTTTAACAATTTCTGTTCACTGCTGCCTGCTCTGCAGAGTGGCCTGGGCACGGTCACCCATTGTTGTAAAATGCCTCACTCACTCTTCAGGTGAAGGGCATTACAGAAATGCAAAGTTATCCATTTATTGCTAAATTGTTGCTGGCCTTTTGATGAAGAGGATGGGGATTGTCAGAGCCTGAACATGAGGCAAAGCTACAATATAAATTATTTGAAATCCTACTCCTGGCTCACTGTGAATCTTTCCTATGCAGAACTGAATAGTTACACTGTGGATCAAAAATTGTCACGGGTTTATCATTTTTGCGTGCAGATCTTCTGTTTCCTGTGTGTACTCCATTACCTGCAGAAGGAGAACCTTGCCATGATCCTTTAAACAAACTCCTGAACCTGATCACGTGGGAACTGGAACCAGATGGAGTGCTTGAGCGCTGCCCATGTGCAAGTGGCTTGATATGCCAGACTCACAGGTAAAGCCTGGGAAGGATCAAAAGCTTTTTTCAATGGAGACTCTTTGAACCCTTTCAAGGTTTGTTTGTGTGAAATTTCCCCACTCTGCACTGAGTTGCAAGCTGCTCAGTGTTGTGAGGTCTGAAAATCTTGAATGCTTTCTTCACCACTAACTCTGGAAAAAAATCCTCACGGTTATAAAAATGTCTAAAGCCTTTTGCATTGTCCTAACACACACTGCTATTCCTGCCTGTCAGGAAGCGTCTACTGGTATTTGTGTAGTCATTATCAAGGGGGTAGTGGATTGTCATTGCAGGTGGTGTTTGATACAGTAACACCTGAACCACACTTTAGAAGGCACAGTGTATTCCTAACTTTTGTCCAGTATTATTTGATCTGATTGTAATTGAGACTGCTGCATCTGAGAAATACTGAAGGGGAGAGGAATCCATCTAATCTGTTAGAGAGTTGTGGGTTTTCTTTAAAAATTCAAGTCTTCAGCTTTCCTGAGCTGTGAATCACTTGCTATAATCAGATGTCTTACCTATTCAAGTAAATGGATTTGCAAGTTTTGTTCTTCCCTTTCACCGGGAAGAGGGGTGTGGGCGGGGTTGTAGTTTTCCACTTCAATAAAGAACTCAACACTAACAGGCAGGATGTGTTTGCTTTCTCAACAGCCACAGCACTGTGCCTGTATGTGAAGTGTCTTTTAATGACACCAGAAGTAATGAAAAGGAAGACGCTTTGCTCATGGATGAAATATCGTTTCTTGGTTTGATACCCAGAGATGTGCTTGGTGATTATGAAGACAGCAGCATCATTCAGGCAGTGCGGAAGGAATTAGAAAGCCTGGAAGGAAATACTTCCCAACAGACAGATTTAAAGGAGCCTGACTTGGCTCATGATCTGCTCTTTGGAGATGAGATTTAAATTAAACACAGGGCAGATTTGTCACTGACACAATAAGAATTACATTTCTAGAAGTGTCTAGTATTTTGCTTGTATAAATCCTGAAAACACACACACTGCTGGATAGAAGTGCAATAAATGATATTTTAAAGGGGTTTCTTCCTATTCCCTTCCCCCAAACCTGGACAGACTTTTTTTTAATCCATTCAGAAGGTTGGACTAAACTAAATCAAAGGGCAAGTGGGGGCCTAACTGTTATGGTTTTCTTTGGACTAGTTACTCAGTCCTGGGTGCCAAAATAAACTTACTAGTTTGGTATTAAGAGGAAAAGAGCATGTGTCAAAGTGTTAATGTTTTATACATAATCTCATTTAAATTATTGGTGACCCTAAAGTGAAAGTTTTGAGCATTGCATTTTCTGTACATATGTTTGGAATAATGGTTATTGTTCTGGGGTGAGGAAGAACCCACTTCTTGGTTTAGATTATTTTCAGGCATTAGTCTTCAGCCATGTATGTGTTTCTTTTAAAAAATATATAATCACAGTGAAGTTGCAATAAATATAGCTTCTGCTCAGTTATTTGAAGCCTGGGGCAGGTTGGGAAGGAGGAGAGCTTTCTCCTTTGGTTCAGAGAAAGCACAGAGGACCAAACTTCACTTTCAACTGGTTACAGAGGTGGCAGCAAAGGATCTCAAACTCACGTAGCACCACTAGCTGTAAAGGTTTTGGGGGACTGGGCTGGCACCTTAAACCAGCATCCCTACTACACAGCATTTGCCAGTGTCAACTCCATGAAAGTTAATATTACTCCTTGCAGCATTAACGATCCTTCACAGTTGTTACCTTCAGGAAGGCATGGATTCCTCCCCCCCACTCTCTATTGTACTTTGTTCAAAATTCCAAACCTATATAAAAGAAAACATCCCATTTAACAGCATCTGAAAAACAAACAAAATGGGATTGGGATAAATGCACATTCATTAAGGTGATATGTACTCCGTAGATGAAGCTTGCCCCTGTTCCTGTTGAAAAACTCTCCACCACTCTTCCTTTTAATCAGGATGTCAAATATCAAGCTATTGATAAGCATGTTTCAGACTTACTGTACCAGAGGATTGTCCCTGCACACAAGACAGGGACAATCTTTTTCTCCTTCCCTTCCCCAACAGGCCAGCCTTATGGTTATAAAGTGCCCTGCTTTGAAGTGATTGCCTATTATAAAAAAGCCCAGATCCATCACTCTCCTGTAAATAGTCCTGTATTTAACCTTTCAAGGAAGTGCTCTTCTCAAAGTATTACCCTTGCTTACTATCCCAGTAATACTGCCAGAGTCTTGTGTGTTCATGGATAGTACTTCCTGGCATAAGGCTATTTAATAAGGCTCTGGAGCCCTAGTTAGAGGTAGGTCATATACTCCAGTAAAAAGCATGCACAGGTTTTACATCGGGGTAGGACCAGAGTTTGTATAGAACATTACAGAAAGATCAGGCAACATCACAGATTCAGCAGCCCTTTTGAAGAGCTATATTTGGCCCATATAAATCATGTGCTAGAGCAGTAGGAGAGGGTTTTTTCCAGAGACGTGACAGATTATTGTGAGAAGTTGGACCTTAGATCCAACTATGAAAAGGATGAAAAAAATGGACTTTGTGTTAGTTTGCCATGTTCCTTAAGGGAAGAAAAGGTCATGAAACGGTCTATGGAGTCTCAAAGCAAATGATTCTCTTCGTACTCTTCAAGTTTGAGGTTAGGAGCATGAAGGACACAGTCATTCCTGTGGAAGGAACCTCTTTCATAAGGACTCCAACAGAAGACAAGCTACCATCATTAGCATCTCTCTGCAATTTTGACAACCCCGCTTCACCAGAGCCTTGTCATGCAATAACCTGAAAAGCCTCAATCCTCAGCAGCACAATGAGTTTAAGCCACAGCTGAAACTCCTGTTGCTGGCTATAGCAATCAGTGAATAGCTCCACAGCACTGGCATTAACCTACTTACCACACCTGCGGCCAGTGCCTGCTTCCTAACATTTTGGGAGTGGCAGGACATCATCTTCCCTGAGGGCAGCCTGGCTTTGGGAACAACAGGAGGCAGTGAAAACCTTTGTCATAGGCAGCCTCAGCTTCCACCTGCCCAGGTAGTAGAGAAATAGCTGTTAACTGAGGTCAATATATGGCCTCAGTCCCACAGAGGACTGTGGGCAATAGTGGCCGTTTTGGAAGGGCAAAACAATTTCTGTGAAGGAAAGACTATTCGCCACCCTCTGCTGGTACATGAACTTTCAGTTACTGAAGAACAGGAAAGAACTTTAAAATATTAGTTTAAAAATGGGGAAAAAAAGTGGCCTAAACTCAATCTTATGAGTGCATGGAAAGCGGGGGTGGGGGGGGATTAAACAGCAGAAGCCAGTGCCGTTTAGCTAGGGGGTACAAATGAGTGAGAAGGTAGAATTTCTTAGAATTTGCCTTTTAAACCAACAGATCTGCTTAAAATTTCCCTTCTTTCCTATGGAAGCACCCTAGGGTGCCTTTTACATATACACAGTGAACACGATCAAGGCCAGAAAAGCTCCAGCGCCTGAGCTAGAAGCATTTTCCAGACTGGCTATTCAAGACTCTCCGTAGCACCTGATGAAAATATTACCTGGTTCATTCAGACAACTTAACTGTGGAAGAAAAACGGACAAGGGGCAGTCAAAATTCACATCTGCAAACCTAAGTAATACAGGTTCTTCTGGCAGATGTGTCGCCCAGCCTACACACGGGTGATCCAAGTAACAGTTCTGAACACACACACCGACACAGCAGGCAACTTGGAGTAGTGCTTTACAGAAGAGGGCAAGCGTCCTCCTTTCCCTTTGAGAGATCGGTCGAGTCCTTCATTTTCCGTTATTTTATTTCATTTCATTTCATTTCCCCTGGGAATTTATCAGTGTTTATTACCTTAACAACAAAAACCAGTGAAAATCAGTGCAAAAAACTATTCATAATTTTTCTGGGTAAATATCAGGGTTATTTTGGTGGACAGAAAGATGGGAAAAAGGTACTCAACAGATTAACACTTTGAATTCTGTTCATCAATGTGGTCTGCTGCAGAACTAAAACAGAACTCTGCCATCTCTGAGTTTAAGAAAACAATACATCTCTAAACCCAGATAAAACTTTTCATTTGAACAAGCAGTGTATTGGTGTAGACTTAGGACTATTAGCCTATAAATATTTACATTTAGTAATTGGGCCACACCATTTGCAGTGCAGACATGCAACTTCATCCTTTTCTCCTGTTTGTTTTAAAAACTTTGAATGCTTGTGTTCTGAAACTTATTCGATGCAGATTTTCGTTTTCTTCCCATTTTAGTGTGTCAAATTTTTAAACCGTTATCAGCCAACAGCTTGAAATGTGTAGGTGGTGGACATGAGATTCATCAGTATATTCAGATGCGCATGCACTTCAGAGCTTGCATGTGTGCCTGTTTATTGGGTCTTCAAGACTATTACATAGCCTTACTTCAAGAGGCAGCTTTGCATATACACAGACCAATGTATTATCATACTACATATATCTCATGCAATGTATTTTCCTAATAAAACAAGATTTTTATATATTTATATTTGAATGATACAAAAGTAGGGTGAAAATCAGAAAAAAAGTTTTTGTAAAACTGAGGAATTTTTCAGTAAATATTGGTTTAAACTGAAAATGAAGGGGCTTAGAGATGGAAACTCAGCCACAGTAAGATTATGTGACTTGCCTGAATAGGTCAGCAGCAAAAATTAGGAATAGAATCCAGGTCTCCCGACTCATGCTAGCATCTGATCCACTGGACCAAAGATCACTGGTAACATTCTGACTCAGATAATAAAAGGGCTGCTGCACACCACCTCCTCCTCTTCTACTAGAAAGACTGATGGAGCCAGGTGGCGGCAGCAGGGAGGAAGCAGTAGTCATTGTCACCACCCATAATTAAGGAAGGTTATGGAGCCAGTAGAGGTCTCCGCTCCATCTTTCCAGTAAGCAGCATATCATAAGGTCCACTCCTTGTATCTCAATCCAGGCTGAATCTGATAGCTTGACAATTGAGCAGCAAGAATCAATAAAATTTTCCTACAAGTGCCATTATATCATGATCAATGCCAGAAAAACAGCCCTTTCATCTCCTGAAAAAGACCTAGACTTGGACCAAAGAATTACTGTCATTGCATCTCCTCTCTTGGTGCTACATAATGTTATAAAAACACAAACTCATCCAAGCCTCTGGTAGATTACCAATAGTATTGACGTTCCTTATGGCAACATATCAATCCAAAAAGACAGATCTATCTTCTCTACCGCAGATGCATCCACAGTGCTACAAGTACTTAGACCCATTTAATTTGAATGGAAGGTATTTAATCCCTATGCTTCCTTTCCCTAAAATATGTTCCCTGTTCGCAATTCTTTCAGTTTAGAGTCTACAAAGTCTCTGCTCTTAGGAAGCATGGAGTCTTACTGAATAGTTCAGAAAGGCAAGATTTCTCCCCTACATACATCATGTATTATTGTTTCACTTCTCCTGAGAGCTCAACACCTGAAAGAGTATAGCAGACGGTGGATGAAAAGAACTGCAGATTTAGCTTAGCTGAATTAACATGTTTAGGAAAACGTCAATCCCTTTTTGTTTCTTCTCACATTGAGTGCCCAGGTCTGAAAGATTCTAAACCTAAATTCTGTTTTACCAATGCCTACACAGCTGCTCGAATACTAGTCCCACAAGCAATCAGAACCCACTTCTACTGCAGTATCCTGTGCCAAAAGGGCATCAGTCACCAGAAAGGAAATCTCTAAAGTTGTCTTGTGGTCATCCATCAAGACTTCTATTAAGCTCTCCAGGCTTAAACTTTCCTCTGAAGCATCTTCCGAGCATGAAGGTGCTCCAAACAGTTGTATTTAAGATTTCCCCCTTCCCTAAAAACTAGTCTAACTAAAATCTTTCTTTTATCCTACTTTTTCCTCTCTCCCACTCCTAGTTTTCCCTTAGCAACTGCTATGCCCCAAGTGCCTAACAGCATAAAGGAAATGTCATGATCCAGAATAAAAAAATGTACCTAACAATTTCCTTTACTGGAACAACTTGTATCCTAGTCCTCCCAACCATAAGGCCTTCAGTGCTTCTGTGACAGCCTCAGAGTATGTCTACACTGCAGCTAAACACCCGTGGCTGGGCCATATCAACTGACTTGGGCTTGTGCTGCTCTGGCTGTAAAATTGCAGTGCACTTTGTGGGGTCCCAGACCTCAGGCTCCATCCTAAGCCCGAACATTTACACCATGATTTTACAGCCCTGCAGCCTCTGTCAGCTGACATGGGCCAGCCACAGGTGTTTAACTGCAGTGTAGACATGCCCCTGCATGTCTACATATATAGAGCTGATACATTATAATAAAGTCATTCCAGCAGCCAAAGATGTCAGCACGCTAAGGTATTCCGACAACGCTCCCTTTCTTCCCACACCCATGCCACCTAAGTTACAGACTGGAGGGCATGAAGCCATAATGAACGCTCTATACCATGCAGGTATTC